ATCTCCTTTAGGATGGACTGGTTGGATCTCCTTGCAGTCCAAGGGACTCTCAAGAGTCTTCTCCAACACCACCATTTGAAAGCATCAATTCTGCGGCACTCTTCTTTCTTTATAGACCAACTCTCACATCCATACTTGACCACTGGAAAAACCATAGCCTTAACTAGACAGACCTTTGTTGACAAAGTAATGTCTCTGCTTTTTAATATGCTGTCTAGGTTGGTCATAACTTTCCTTCCAATGAGTAAGAGTCTTTTAATTTCATGGTTGCAATCACCATCTGCAGTGATTTTGGAGCCCAGAAAAAGAATCACTGTTTCCACTGTTTCCCCATCTATTTGCCATGAAGTGATGGGACTGGATGCCATGATCTTAGTTTTCTGAATGTTGAGCTTTAAGCCAACTTTTTCACTCTCCTCTTTCACTTTCATCAAGAGGCTCTTTAGTTCTTCACTTTCTGCCATGAGGGTGGTGTCATCTGCATATCTGAGGTTATTGAGATTTCTCCCATCAATCTTGATTCCAGCTTGTGCTTCCTTCAGACCAGCGTTTCTCATGATTTACTCTGCATATAAGTTAAATAAGCAGGGTGACAATATTCAGTCTTGACGTACCCCTTTTCCTATTTGGAACCAGTCTGTTGTTCCATGTCAAGTTCTAACTGTTGCTTCCTGACCTGCATACAGGTTTCTCAACAGGTGGTCTGGTATTCCCGTCTCTTTCAGAATTTTCCATAGTTTATTGTGATCCACACACTCGCTCCTTGCAAGAAAAGACAAACCTAGACAGCATATTAAAAAGCGAGACATTACTTTGCTGACAAAGGTCCATCTAGTTAAAGCTATGGTTTTTCCAGTAGTCATGTATGGATGTCAGAGTTGGACCATAAAGAAAGCTGAGTGCTCAAGAATTGATGCTTTTGAACTGTGGTGTTGGAGAAGACTCTTGAGAGTCCCTTGGACTGCAAGGAGATCAAACCAGTCAATCCTAAAGGAAATGAGTCCCTGAATATTCATTGGAAGGACTGATGCTGAATACAATACTTTGGCCACCTGATGTGAAGAACTGACTGATTGGAAAAGACCCTGATGCTGGGAAAGATTGAAGGCAGGACAAGAAGGGGACAACAGAGGATGAAATGATTGGATGGCATTACCGACTTGACGGACATGAGTTTGAGCAAGCTCCGGGAGTTGGTGATGGACAGGGAGGCCTGGCGTGCTACAGTCCATGGGGTCACAAAGAGTCAGACACGACTGAGTGACTGAACTGACTTGAAAGTCCAAAAGTGTTTTCTGAAAGTGTCCAAGTCCTTGTTCTTTATTATTTCTTTAGACTCAAGAGCAAGATTGATGAAGTTTCGTATCACCACACACAAGCTGTTTTTCCTTGGCCTCCACTCATCCCAGGATGAGTGACTATACCTCAGTAGGATAGTTTGGGGATGGGGGTAACATCCCCAGTAAGCCAGTAAGTGCCTAAACTAAGTTCTTCTGATGGTGTACGGTTGGGATGTTCAGTAATTTTCTGGCAGACAGAATCTTTGGAGGGTCAAATTTGATTAGGTTCTTTGATAAGGAGTTTTGTTGTTTGTGTGTCTTTCTTGACCTCATGTTGCAGAGCCTCCTGCCTAGTAGCTGTTGTCATTTTTGTTGCCTGTTTTCTTAATGAGCCCTTTTCAAGAAATGGAAAGTTGTTTGACCAGTGGAAAAGACTAATCTAGTTTGGGCAGGGATTTTCAGCTCAGGAATTTGGATTTTCTGAATAGAAGCAAAGCTTACATATGTTTTTGCCTTTCTAAGAGATGGTTCTGATTGTCTGAACTACTTTTCATTGTCATTACAGATAGAATTTTTTTTTTTTTTAATATTTATTTGGCTGTGTCAGACCTTAGTTGCAGCATGCAGGATCTTTAGTTGCAGCACTTGAGCTCTTAATTAGTGCATGTGGGATCTAGTTCCCTGACCAGGGATCATACCTGGGCCCCTTGCAATGGGAGTGTGGAGTCTTAGCCACTGGACCACCAGGGAAGTTCCACAGATAGAATCTTAGTGGCCAGCAGCTGCTCTGTGTTTGACTTTCCTAGTCTTAAACTAGCAAGCCATTCTATTTTCTTCACATCTTTAATAGAGCCGGATCAGAAAATTTGTAAGTGCACCATGTCGTCATAAATACGCATTGTTCTTATTTTAAGACATTTTGGTTCTAAAAGCATGAGTACTTCTGTTATTATCTGCAATATTTTTTTTGCGTGTGGATATTTAAGACCTTTTTAATGGCAGTATATATTTTTAAAACAGACGTTAAAAATTAACATTCCCCCACATGCCCAGAGCGTGTGGAGAACCAGGTTGGGATGTGTGGGTGAGCAGTAGGCAGCCAGGTGCCTCTGCGGGCTCTTCAAGGACTGGGGTGAGCAGCTTACATCTGCCTAGCATTTGGGGGACATAAAGTCTGCATTTTAGCTGATGCTCATTCTCAGCATTGTTGTCTTTGTTAGTGCATAATGGAAATCTCATCTTCAAATTGTCCAGCATTTGGTTGAGTGTCTGCTACGTGTAAGATGCCAGGTGATGACGGGCCCTTGGGGAGACCGTGCAAGTTTCTGGCTCTTCCTGAGGTCCCCAGTGTCAGAGACCTGGTGTTGGGCAGAGACTGCACTGACCAGCCTGAGGCCTCTGGGGACATATGCAGCCGCTCCATGTCTGACTTGACTAGAGCCTTCTTCTAATTCTGGACTGAAAGCAAACAGGAATTTGGAGGAGGATGACGAGAATTCACATCCTGTAGTTGGCTTCTATAATGCAGTGGTTTGAGAGATTTGTGTGTGTGTGTGCTAAGTTGCTTCAGTCATGTCCGATTCTTTGCTACCATATGGACTATAATCTCCCAGGCTCCTTTGTCCATGGGATTCTCCAGGCAAGAATACCAGAGTAGGTTGCCATGCCCTTCTCCAGGTGATCTTCCTGAGATAGGGGTCGAACCCGCATCTCCTAGGTCTCCTGAATTGGCAGGTTCTTTACCACTAGTGCCACCTGGGAAGCCTTTGAGAAATATAGTGTTTTTTCAAAGGTTTTTTTTTTTTTTTCAAAGTTTTTAAGAACTTGCCTCTTTCCAGAAAGGGTTTGAGACAACTTGAGAGACACACACACCCACACATATATATAGATATATAGATAAAATGGGGAATCAGAGCAAAGGACAGAAGGAGCAAAGGACAGCTTCCTAAGCTCTTAGGAAGGGTTGGCATGATTGCAGAGATGGTCAAAATGGGTCCCAGCTTCTTTTAGCCAGAGTGGAAAGGATGGTGCCATTAATTCAGGCAAGGAAAGGACTTGAACGGTAGTGGAGGATGTTGTGGGTGCTAGGCACAGTCTTATCCCCATTTTACAGAGGATAAAACTGAAAGGCAGAGAGTCACTGGGCTGAGACTTGAAACCTGCTGGGAACGAGCCTTGAAGCCTCAGGTTAACTCTGGAATGTCAATCTGTTATCAGGAGGTGGAAGAATTTTGGTTTCTTTGGGTGGAAGACATTTTTTGCTAATGAAACTTTTTCTCTAAGGCTGTACTTTATATTCTTCCAGTTTTTTTCCCCCTATATATATAATAACAAGTGTAATAAATACTTTTTCAATCATAAAAAGTTTTACTGTATCCTGTTTTGGTTCAGTTCAGTCGCTCAGTTGTGTCCGACTCTTTGCGACCCCATGAATCGCAGCACGCCAGGCCTCGCTGTCCATGACCAACTCCTGGAGTTTACTCAGGCTCGTGTCCATCGAGTTGGTGATGCCATCCAACCATCTCATCCTCTGTCGTCCCCTTCTCCTCCTTCCCTCAATCCCTCCCAGCATCAGGGTATCCTCTTTAAGGCATCACTTATCATGGGTTGCTTTCCATGGCAGAATGACTAGATCAAATCCATTCACTGTTTTTTTTTTTTTTTTTAAGAGTTCTTTTTTGGGGGTATGTGGACCATTTTTTAAGTCTTTATTGAATTTGCTACAATATCGTTTTGTTTTTTTGGCTGCAAGGCATGTGGAATCTAAGCTCCCCAACCAGGGATCAGACTTGCACCCCTGCACTGGAACGTGAAGTCTTAACCACTAGACCTCTAGGGAAGTCACATTCATTCATTTTTAATATCTGCATCTTAACCTATTGTTTAGATATATTTTAGCAGTCTCTTAGTGATGGCTATTTGATTTCCAGGGTTTCTTTTTCACATATTACAAACAATTCTGCAGTGAATCTCTTTATTGACAAACGATTGCAAATTCCTATGAAATAAATGGTCAGAAGTAGAATTACTGGTTCAAAGGGTATGTGCTTACTTTTAAAAATTAAAAAAAATTCTTAAATTGGATAATTGCTTTACAGAATTTTGTGGTTTTCTGTCAAACAACAAGCTTCAGCCATATGTATGCCCATGTCCCCTCCCTCCCCAACCTCTCCCCATCCCACTCTTCTAGCTTGTCACAGAGCCCTTGTTTGAGAGTTAAATTTTTAATAGAAACGGTCAGATTACCTTCCAAACTGTTTAAGGAAAAGATTGTATCATGTTTATTGTCTACCTCCTATATTCTGCCTGGTGCCGAGAGGAATGCAGAAAGGATGCAAAAGGGTTTGTTGCCCTCCAGGAGTCTCCATCTATGCGGTGCATCTGATCAGTCCTAGGGACTGTCTGGGGTGTTGACCTGGGTGGGTGGGTGAGTGGGTGGATTTAATTCAGCTTTTCAAACTTGCCTTGCAAACACTGTGCGTGGTGTTTAGGAGTTGTCTTTTATTGTATTGATTCTCTTGGGTAACGGCTGTAATTTCCTTAGGGCAGGGACCTCATCTTACATGAGACTTACAGGGTGTCTCACACATCTTCATAGCTTTGTGAAGACATTGTAATTACAACATGTCAGGCAGTATTCAGGGATCTAAGTGAGAACATTTCCTTTTTTTTGGGGGGGGTGTGTGTATGAAGAATGAATAACTTTGGCATTCTGTACAGGTCATGGAATATCAGCCTGGAGGGGATTTGCTGTCACTTTTGAATAGATATGAAGACCAATTAGATGAAAATATGATTCAGTTTTACCTAGCTGAACTGATTTTGGCTGTCCACAGTGTTCATCAGATGGGATATGTGCATCGGTAAGTGAGACTCTGGTAGTCTACTGAGAATTTATCTGTATCACCTAAGACTTCCTAAAATGGAGTGAGTGATTTCAGCATCAAAATAATTCTTCATCCAATTTTTAGCCAGTCTTCACCAATAATTGGCTTAAGGCAAATTGTGCAAAATGGCAGGCGTTTCTGCTTACCCATTCAACAATGAAATAGATCTAAAATTGTAGTCTTCTTACATTTTCTAGTAAGATCTGTTAATGTGGCTAATAAGAGGAGCTCTTGCATGGATTGTTTGGGTGCTATCATAGGAAAACCAAATTTGATTTGCACAAGGAAACGGCCTACCACCCAGAAACAGAAGACAATGTAGTTGTACTTCTGACCCGCCCGTTAGTAATCTACAAAGGTGTTCTCCCAAATCCTCAATCTGAAAATGTTTCTTTACATCTTCACTAAAATGTAAATTTTATGAGCATCTGAGAATGTTGTGGGAATGGAATGCTGGTTAGACCAGGAACCACAAAATCCTGAGTAGAGTTTGTTTTTTTTCCATTTACTAGCCATATGACCATGAGCAAACCCCCTAGCTTCTTGTGGCCTTAGTTTTCCTAATATAAAATGTGTATCTTGAGGAGAACTAATCCATCTAATAACAGGTGTTTGTTCCCTTTCCTTTTCTGCTTCCCTTCCCCTCCTTCCCTCCCTCCCTCTATTCTTTCTGTTTCTTTTGCTTAAATTTATTTTGTAAAATGCTTATTACATATGTCCATCAGTAGGGAGGTCTGTGTGGCAAAACCATAGACACTAAGATTCTTGGCTGAATCATGATCCTAGGTCTGCAGTTGCTTGATGATTGGCATGGAGAAGACAATACTAATTTATGGCCTTAATTTCCATACAGAGACATCAAGCCCGAGAACATCCTCATTGACCGAACTGGACACATCAAGCTGGTGGATTTTGGATCAGCTGCTAAAATGAACTCAAATAAGATGGTAACAAAACAGAATAAGATAACTTAATTGAACTTATACTACAAAGTGTTCTGAGGTCCTCATAAGTTTGGACAATATGGGATAAAGTTGAGTGACACTCTGAAGCCTTTATCTGCCAGCTGTGAAATTATTTCTCTGCAGGGTGCGTGGGGATGGGTCACAGAGCTATTTTCCAGACTTACTTGACCTGGGACCCTTTTATGTAAAATGCCTGTTAATACCGTACAAAACATTTTAAGGAACATTCTTGTAGTTTGGTTAAAAAAAAGGGAAAATACTTTACTTTGTTTTTCCCTTCATTTTCCTTGCTTATTAATTGATTGTCTCCTGTTACATTCTCTTTTTCATCTTAAATATTTTGATGAAATGAAACCTTATTTATCTCAAATCCTTTACTTCATATGCAGTGCAATGAAAATTAATCACTAGAGCATTTGAACCAGGCATTAAGCATTAAGAACCAAGTGCTCAAAATGTCAATTCTAAGTCCTGGACCTTCGGTAAAAAGTAAGCTGTATTCCACATGTTAATTATTATTAAGCTGTATCCCATGTGCTAATAACAAGGCAAGAGGGTAGCTATTGAGGTCAAGAACGAGAATACTTTAGGAAAAAGATGACAAAGTAAAAGAAAATTAGATTTTAAAAACCTCATCAAGTTGGCACATGCTAAAATGTAAATTTTCAAGTCAACTATGCAAAAAAGGGTGAGTCTAAGAGAAAATCGACTTAGATTTTAAGACTTATTTCCCAACTGAATTACTTGGTGACCTGTACAAATCCTTAGGAACTTGGGCTTTTATTCTTCCTCTAGAATTTTACTGATTCTAGTTAAGATGCAGAAATTAAGGGAGAGCCTGTTCTTCAAAATACCCCCGGCTCTGAGAGTTTAGTCCTTATAAAGGGCAACATATAAAATTGCCTTTCTTTTTCCGTCTCGTGTTCCTTGGGGAAAGGTGGGTATTATTATATTTGGAAAAGGCTCAAGGTTGTGTTAACTCTTTGCATGCCAGAGTTTCACCTCGCTGTTCCATAGACTTGAGGCCTATTTGACATAACTTCTTTCAGGTTCAGGCTCTTGGGAAAACAGGTTGTTTATGTTGTGTGAGGTCAGGGTTTTTCAGCCTCAGCATTGGTTGTCCCCTCAGATTAGGTGTTTATAATCTCTTCTACTTGATCATTACATTAATAATGAGAGTATCAAAGAATTTTATGTTTTAAAGTGAAAGTGTTAGTTGCTCAGTTGTGTCTGACTCTTTGTGACCCTGTGGACGGTAGCCCACCAGGCTCCTCTCTCCATGGAATTCTCCAGACAAGAGTACTAGAGTGGGTTGCCATTTCCTTCTGTAGCAGATCTTCTTGACCCAGGGATTGAACCTGGGTCTTCTGCATTGCAGGTAGATTCTTTACTGTCCGAGCCACTAAAAATTATGTACAATTCGGATACAGGCATGAAAACTTAGGTATTGGATTTAGTAGATTAAAGTACAGGAAAAAAAGTTAAATTATACAAAATTTTACCATCTGGGATTCAAAAACCCATGCCTTGCATTAGTGATCTTAATAAATTCAGGCATCTAGAAATAAAATGAAGCATAGGTATGTAGTCACAGCCACTAGCATTTTAATCTAGAGAATTCTCTGTGGTAGGGACTGTCCTGTGTGTTGTGGGATGTTTAACTGCATCCCTGGTCTCTACCCTCTAGGTGCCAAGTAGCCTCCCCTCCAGTTGTGACAACCTAGTGTAACTCCAGATATTGCCCAGTGTTCACTGGGGGACAGAATCACCCTTGGTGGAGGACCTCTGCCATTGATGGAGAAGCATCAGAAGGCTTAATAGAGCTGGCAATATGTGTTTGTGATTAGAAAGCCTGCTTGGAGAATTGGATCATGATCCAGAGTCATTGCTTGGGAAATAAATGGGAATAAAGAGTAAGGTCCCGGGATTTCCCTGGTGGTCTAGTGGTCAAGAATCCGTCTTCCAGTGCAGGGGACACGGCGGTTCCATCCTTGGTGGGGAATATAAGGTCCCACATGCTGTGGGGCAATTGAGCTGGTGCACCACAGCAAGAGAAGCTTGTGTGCCGCAACTAGAGAAAATAGAGGCCCCGCATCACAATGAAGACACAGTACAAACAAGAAAAAAAAGAGTAAGGTCTCTGCATCTGGAGTTACTCTCTTCAGAGCCCTTGGTGGAGATGGGACTGCTTTTCATTTCAGATTTCTGTTTTCCAGTGCTGCAAACTGCCTTTTTCAGTTCTTCAGATGGTAGCAACATTCCCTTCAGGCGGTGAGCCTAGGAGCAAATAAGTGAAGTGAAAGTGAAATCGCTCAGTCGTGTCCGACTCTTTGCGACCCCGTGGACTGTAGGCCACCAGGCTCCTCTGTCCATGGATTTCCCAGGCAAGAATACTGGAGTGGGTTGCCATTTCCTTCTCCAGGGGATCTTCCCGACCCAGGGGTTGAACCGGGTCTCCTGCATTGCAGGCAGACACTTTAACCTCAGAGCCACCAGGGAAGCCCAGGAGCAAATAAACTCAGGTTTATTTGCTGCTCAGTGGTTCAGCCCTGATTTTTTTGGTCAAGGAGATAATGGCCCTCAGTTCTACTCACTTGAGAATGCTGTAGCTCCTCTTCTCTTAGAGAATCTTCTCCCCAGAGCTTTGTGGTCTTAGAGCTCAAATATGTAAAGCAGTTGAGGAGGAATTTTTGGCATTGTTTTAAGTGAAAAGTCCTTTTTGTTATAAACAGTAATTTGTAATCTAGATCAAGTCAAGTATGGATATAGAATTAAAACTTTTTTGGTATTTTTGATCAGTGGTGGTGGGTAAAATACATGTTTCCTTTAAATAGGATGTTTTACAGATCTAAAATAGCTTTTAAAAGTTTTTTTTATATTCAAAATATACTGTATAAAATATAATTTGGAAATTTCCTGGCAGTCTAGTAGTTAGGACTGTATACTTCCACTGTAGGGGGCTATGAGTTTGATCCCTGGTCAGGGAACTAAGATCCCGCATGCCTCATGGTGTGCTCTGCTCCCAAACACACACACACACACACACACACACACACACACACACACACACACACCCTCTGTCACACTCACACACTCATTGGAATTATTGTATGTTATCCATACACACACACACACACCCTCTGTCACACTCACACACTCATTGGAATTATTGTATGTTATCCATACACACACACACACACCCTCTGTCACACTCACACACTCATTGGAATTATTGTATGTTATCCCAAATCCATTTATCACTTTCCTTGCCACTGCCACATATTGTCTATGTATTTTGGATACTTGTGAATCTTAGCTCTGTTGAGTTTCTCACCTTCCATTGTCTTTATTTAAGCTTTTTAGTCAGAGTGTTGCTTGAGGGTATTTTTGTTAGTGAACACAGGTGGGCCATATTGCCTGGAGGTTTGGGTGTTGAGCAGAGATGTCACCTACTTCCCCTTATTAGAACCTCAGAGAATGGCAGATAGCTAACAGTTCCAACCTGTCTCAGTTCTCATGAAAACAATTGTAAGGAGATTATAAATCAAGAGCATTATAGCATGTTAAGTGATAATCACTACCATTTAGCAGTTGGAAACCCATAGGAGATAACCCTTTTTGAGATTTATGGAGTAGTGAAAAGATTTTATTCTTTTCCATGAGAAGAACAACATAGTGAGAATATTTCCTCCCCTGCTTCTGCAGGTGTGTATCTGTGCCCTGGACAGCTAGAGGAGGAAAGTTAGGTTCAGTTTTCTGTATAAGCATTTTCAGAGAAGGGGATTGGGAGGAAGAAGATGGGTTTTCTTACCTTCTTCTCTGTCTGCTTTTTGCTTGTTAAAGAATCTGCTAGTTTTGTAAAAACAATCTGCTGGGTTAATGCTCTCTTTTCTTTTCTTCCCCCTCCTTCCCCTTGCCTCCCTTTCTTCCCCCTCTATCTCTCCAAAATATGACATACTTTTCTGTCTCCTAGTCATCTGATTATTGTCTCCTCCTGAACCGGTATACTTTCTTCCCTGTCAATATGGGGAAAATCAAAGTTCAGTAAAACTGGGGTCTTGTTAGATGATGTACTGCAGGCAGGCTGGGTTCCTGGTACATGGTCCCAGATCGGTCCAGTATCACCTGGATGGGCTGGGTGTGAATTGCCACCAGAGCAGAGTGAAAGGACCTTGCAAGATCCCTATCAGGAATTGTGAGATGACCTGTTGAACAGGTTGAATGTACTCGGAGGTCAGGAACAAATAGAAACTTAGTAGTCCTTGAAGGTGAAAGTTGCTCAGTCTTGTCCAGCTCTTTTTGACCCCATGGACTATACAGTCCTTGGAATTCTCCAGTCCAGGATACTGGAGTGGGTAGCCTTTCCCTTCTCCAGGGGATCTTCCGACCCAGGGTCTCCTGCATTGCAAGTGGCTTCTATACCAACTGAGCTATCAGGAAAATGCCAGTAATTGTCATTAAAAGTCTTTGTTAATGTTAATTACTGTAGTAGGAGATGTACAGAAAACAAGCTAGGGAATATTTTTCTTAAAATTTTGGAAATTTGCAAAGTTATTGGACATAAAATGTATACAATCACTTACCTATTATGGAGCAGAAATCAGTTGTAGAGTGATCTGGCTCTCTGATAACTCTAACCATTTGTTTGAAAATGAGGCATTCACAGTTTATACATCTTGATGGGTCATGCTGATAAACATGACCCAGTCAACTTTCTTTCAACTCTGTTTGTGAACAAGTGACCAAGCCCTGGGAGCTGTCAGCAAGGAGAACTGAATATTCCCAAACAATCCAATGTGATGACAAAATAAACCCTGATATGTAGAAATGATGAATGTTTGAGGATTGTGTTTTAATGGTTCTGCAGAATAATCAGGCATAAAGGGTAAGCATGTAATCAATGATACAGTGGAATTACCAATACCTAGTCAAACCAGGATGTTACAGTTTTCCATCTCTTGTTTTTTAATGTATTTTTTATAGTACTTAAAAAAAAATTGGTTATTTCCAGTTCAGTCACTCAGTCGTATCTGACTCTTTGTGACCCCATGGACTACAGCATGCCAGGCCTCCCTGTCCGTCACCAACTCCCAGAGTTTACTAAAACTCATGTCCATCGAGTTGGTGATGCCATCCAACCATCTCATCCTCTGTCCATCCCCTTTTCCTCCCACCTTCAGTCTTCCCCGGCATCAGGTTCTTTTCAAATGAGTCAGTTCTTCACATCCGATGCCAAAGTGTTGGAGTTTCAGCTTCAGCATCAGTCCTTCCAATGAACACCCAGGACTGATCTCCTTTAGGATGGACTGGTTGGATCTCCTTGCAGTCCAAGGGACTCTCAAGAGTCTTCTCCAACA